ACCATTATAAAGTAAGAGAACCATTATAAAGTAAGAGAACCATTATAAAGTAAGAGAACCATTATAAAGTAAGAGAACCATTATAAAGTAAGAGAACCATTATAAAGTAAGAGAACCATTATAAAGTATTCAAAGTGTGTAAAAGGGGGGGGTGGGTGGGGGCGTCTAAGGAAGTATGACAATTTGCGACACGGGGCGGGGGTGGGTGGGTGGGTAAAGATCTTGTGTGATCTGACATATGCTTTAAAATCATATATATTTTACCTTAAATGACAGTGATGTCGAACTGTCTGACAGAAGAAGCCACTTTTATACATTAAATAGTGTGTTTGAGATTAAATTTTAATATTTTTTAAACTATATTTTTTATAAACAATCTTTAAATTTAGAAAGTGTTTTAGAGATTTTGAGGGGGGGGGGAGAATATATAAGGTTTACCGAATAAAGCAATTATATTGTTTTCCAATGATCACAATATTGATGTTATTGTGACAAACACATTTTTTCAAATCTCTTAAATTTACCCTTGATGTGACGAAATATAGACAGTCAAAATATCACCACAATCACTCACAGATCGCGACATCTCAAGGGCAACAAGCCCTGTAACAAGCCTTGTGTAGAAGAAATTATGCATGGTGACTTCTCATACACTCAGAGGTCCACTGGCTAGTGATAACCGCCTGGTTACGTAGCCTATATCTAAATTCTAGTGTGGGGTGGGGGTAGGGGTGGGTACAGAGGGCTTCGAGCAAATAATCTTAAGGTTTTTTTTTTGTATGGTTTTTTTTTTAATTTTTTAAATTTTTTTAATGTTTTTTTTTTAAGCTAGAGCTCGATACTATCAGCATCTATTATTATTACAGAACTTTATTTCTCCGCCAGTCGTTTTGACCTATTTCCCGCACGTTTAATTTCCAAAAAATGAAATGCATTATGTTTTAAAATACATTTTAAATAGTTGTATATATTTTTTTTGTAAATGAATATCTCAAACATCGTTTCGAAGCAAGGGCCAGTGTTATTCGGATAGTCACAGACAGATACACCTAGCGTGATCGCTTTCCCTCGAGACACCAATCACTACTCAATTGTCACGTCACAACTGGCTGTAAAGAAGGGCACATATAAAAGCAATGCCGACTTAACAGAAACAGAGGCCACAGGGCCAAGTGATGCACTTGCCCCCCAGCCCCCATTCCCCTCAAACCTAGGAGTTAAATCATACATGTTAAATAGAATAAAGCATTTAGGGGGAGGAGGGGGGGCTCGAACCCAGATTGATCCATGCGTTACGACGACACTGTATTTAATGGGTTGGCTATCTTAACAAAAGGGGGAGGGGTGGAGGACTACTTCCCTCGTCAATGCCCCTGACAATGTTGAAAAGTTTAAAATCAATTTCTCCCCTATTGACAAAGAACCCTTCCTGTAGGCGGTACGGGGCTTCTCTCAAGACGGCATATAATGCTATTTACTTAACCAAAAGTCTAAACGAATTGAATAGTTAATCTATCAGCATGTTTGAAGGCAATGAAAAGCAGACAC